GGCCATCGATCAAGAGAGGGGCCTCCTTACTGCAGAGGGAAAGACTATTAAAAATAAACAAGAGATCTTAGACCTCCTGCAAGCCCTCTGGGGCCCAACAAAACTAGCTATAATCCACTGCCCAGGTCACCAAAAAGGAAACAACCCCACCCAGAAGGGAAATAATCTGGCTGACAGGACAGCTAAAGAAATAGCCCTGACCTCCACGATCTTGCCCATTCTTGGTGATCCTGGAGCAAGGGGACTGCCTAAAACTCCCCATTATAGCCCTGAGGACTTAGCCTGGATATACACTCTCCCTATGACTCAATGCCTAGAGGGCTGGCAGAGGACAATGGATGGAAAAGTTATCCTACCTCAGAATTTAGGCGTAAGATTGCTCAAGAAAATACATCAAGCCTCACACATGGGCACCCAAAGGATGCAAGACTTACTAAGAAGGGCCAAAGTTAAAATTCAGGAAGGAAATCAAGCCATTGAAAAAATTGTTAGGCATTGTCATGCCTGCCAATTAGCCAACTCAGCTCCATCCCATCCTAACCCAGGATCCCGGAGCAGAGGGAGACTTGTCGGGGACTGCTAATCTATTATGTGCATTGAGCTGTGGCTGCCTTGTTTACTGAGTTTGTGTTATGCATACCAGTACTTAATCTGCCTATTCAGGAGGGATGTGTTTATGTGGAGAGCCTCACAATACCTGACCTGGAGGCAATAGTGGTAAACAAAAAGATCAAAGAAGGCTTTGAAGTATTTGACTGCTCCTTGACCCTCAGATACAGGTGGGAAAAACAGCTGTTGAAGCTAATTGAGCTAAGCAAACGGTGGCTATCTCTGATGTTCTGTATAAAAGGTGGAGCTAAAATAAACCGGGGCTGCGGTCTCTACTGACAGTCCTCCCAAGTATCTTTTCTGTCTCTTGTTTTTTTTCTTTCAATCTTCACTCCCCCTTTCAGGTACTGTCCGTCTTGGCTCGCTGGCACCGGCAGTAGTTGCAGAAATTAACTACAGGAAGCTGCTTTTTCTAATAAAGTGGGTTAGGTCAGAGGCTGAAGAAAAGATTGGTGAACAATTATAATATAAAAGACAGAAATCTGATTCAATTTGCTTATTTATTTATTTATTTTTGATTTATTTATGAGATCTAAATTTAGATAACTCCATTCAGAACAGAAGAGCTATTACTGCTGCTTTGCAGAAATTAGCTACAGGAAGCTGCTTTTTCTAATAAAGTGGGTTAGGTCAGAGGCTGAAGAAAAGATTGGTGAACAATTATAATATAAAAGACAGAAATCTGATTCAATTTGCTTATTTATTTATTTATTTTTGATTTATTTATGAGATCTAAATTTAGATAACTCCATTCAGAACAGAAGAGCTATTACTGCTGCTGCCACTTGAATAAGAAGGAAGACCCAAACTCAGACAGACAAAAATCCAGCATAGAAGTGGGGAAATATATAGAAGACCCCAGTATTAACTGAAGAAATATTGGCAATTGATTTCTGCTAGGTGAGGAAGAGCTGATCTTCTTAAAGAAAAGGATTCTAGATAAGCTGACCTAAAGAGAGGGATTCTAGATAAGATGAACTTTCACTGAGGAGCGACTGGGGACACTAAAGTGACACAATAGGCCTTATAAAATGACAAACTGTATGAATTCCAGTGGGGGTGGTATGGAAGGGTTCCAGCAGAGATGGGGATATAAAGATGATTAACATTGATTGAGATATTCTGTATGATATACACAAGATTTAAAAAATACTTTTTTAAAAAAGAGAACGAACACTCATGTAAATAAAATAATAATCTTAAATGAAGACAGCAATACTGACACTATAACTAGTAAGCATCATTAAGTTTGTTTAAAAAAGTATTAGCTCAAGAATTTGATAAAGTTGAAGAAATGAGCTAATTTCTAGACATATACATCTTGCCAAATCTCTCTACCAAAATAAAATATACCAAGAAAAAAAAAATAAGACTGGCATTACCCTTACATCAAAACCAGTTAAGGACACAACTATAAAAGGAAAACCATTAGAATTCTTCTCAGTTGCTCAAAGGTACAAATAATATCCCCAATGAAACACTACAAAAATAAATTCAGTACAATGAAGGACAATTAATTCCAGGCACACATGAATGTTTTAACATGAACAAGTAACTAACCATGATGCAGCCACTAAATTAAACAAAGACTCGCATATCCACTATTAAAAATCATTTAATGATATTAAGTATTTCTTATCAATAAAACTTCTAAATGAATTAGGAATAGAAAAAAGATATCTGAACACAATAGATATCATGTATAATAAGTCAATTGTTAACATTATATCAAGTTTGTAATGAAGTTGAAGAGAAGTTGAAAAATCTCTGCTAAGATCTTGACTACAACAAAGTATGACCACTTTCACTGTTACTCAATATATTGCTCAGGTATATCCAGGGCAATGAGGGAAATGGAAAATAAAAAGGCACCCAAAGTGACAGGAAGAATTTTAATTATTACTGTTTGTAAATGACATGATCTTGTATATAGAAAACTCCAAAAACTCCATCAGCATCTGTTATAACTAATAACTACATTTACAATGTTATCACGTCTCAGCCTTTTGGATAAGATGAAATACAGTATATGTTCTCATCAGTATAACACAGGCTATGTCCTCAATCCAAGGACAATATAGTAAATGGAGATTTTGAGGAGAATGGAATAATAGCTTGTTTGGTCTACTACAAACAGATCTGATATTGTCGTATCTCCAGAAGCAGTGCACTGCATCTTGTAATTAAAAAAAGAAATAAAGGAATGTTCCATCTTCTGGAATTCACAACAGATCTACAAAATCTGTGTCCTTGTTTTCAATCAATAGTACGTTATCTAGACAAAATAAAATACATAAAATATGTATACTTATAGCCTACATATAAATAAAACTTGAAAAAGATAATTGTATAATGAAAATTTAAAGTGCTGGTGGAAGAAACTGATATGCAAAAAGGAATAACATCTCTTTTCAATGAATTTAAAAATCAATATTGTTAAACTATACTCAATGCAATCATAGATTCATTTCAATCTCTGTATAAAAATATTAATGGTATTCTTTACAGAACCAGAAAAACTGAACAGTTTAAATGGAATCATAAAATACTTGCCAAAACAGTTTTGAGCAATGGGACAGACTGGAAGTCATTATATTCCTTATCTTACAAATTTAGTAAGACGCTGCCATCATTTAAAGTGTTTGGTTGGGTTCATGATGTAACCCAGTTTGTTGAATGCTTGTCTGGCTCATAGGAAGCCCTTGATTTAGTCGACACTACTGCATCAACCAGGTTGGTGACAGACTCCAATAATCTTGGGAGGTGGAGGCAGGAGGATCAGAAGTTCAAAGATAGCCTTGGATGTTACCAAGCAAATCAGTTACTTTATATATTTGTGGTAATGAAGCACCTGACAAGAAACAGTCTGACTTGGAAGGGTGTTTACAGCTCACAGTCTCAGCTCACAGTTTGAGTTCATTATGGCAGACTTACCTAGAGCTATTTTTCTCCATTTCTTGAGGCCCAGAAACCAAACCCAGGAATTACTGCATGTGCTCCCCACTGTTAGGGTCTGTCTTCTCACTTCAGTCTGAAAAACTTAACTCCGCATGGCAGTGACCTTTAACTTTGTCACCCAGGAGATTTTAGATACTGTCAAGTTGACAGTCATTGTAGCAACTTTTACTGTGAGCTAAAGAGACCTGTCCCCAAAATGAAACAAAACACATAACAATATGACATTGGCAAATAAAGTCACAGACCAATGAGACAGAGGAATAGTCTGGAAGAAATCCCATACAACTTAACAAGCTGAGATTTTTTTTTTTTCCAAAGGCGCTAAAAAACACATTAGAGAATTTAAATAAATAGTTTTGGAAAATTAATTATACACATGTGGAAAAATGAACTTCTTGTCCTATCTTTTACTAGTAACTGAAAAACTCAAAGTAGATTAAAACATTAAATGTTAGATTTGAACCATGAGACCAGTAGCAAATAGAGGGAGGATTCCATGTATGGCTGATAATATTTTGGACAGGACTACAAAGTGTAAGAAACAAATGTAAAATCATACAAATGGAATTATGTCAATCTTAAAAGCTTCTTCATAGCAAATGAAACAGTCTACGGAAGCAATTCAACCTGAAAAATAGAAAATGCCACTTTAAAAAATGTATCCAGTATATTTAGTAAGTTCTAAAACAAAAGCCAAAATAAAGTCCTATTAAAAATATTTGGGATGTTCTGTGTGATGTACACACACACAAAAAAAATCAACAAATTTAAAAAAATGTATTATATTTGAGGAGGAAGCATGGAAATTTACGACATGCTAGTTAATAGAGGTGATAAACAATACCTTTGAAATCTGCCCGATGAGATTATAGATATACACAGGCGCCAAGGATCCAAGTGCAACCGATTATGGCTAATAATAATCACATACACACAGATTAGAGATGCAAGTGCCAGCATCTCAGTGTTAGTAGCAAAAACAATGAGTCTATCCTCAAGGAACAATATATTCCAAAATGTAATTGGGATCTTTTGGAAAGGTTAAAAACTCATCCAATTTTATGTCTTACAGGGCTTATACTGAGTTCAATATTATATAACTATATTAATTCAACTGTGAACCTAGAAACTTGCACCCACTTGTGAAAGAGATGTACTGTTGCTCTGGAGTGTGTTA